ACTTTAGAAAATTAGGAGATATATTTGACCACAAGACTAATACATAAAAGTAAAGATCTTGATTGAATAAGTGTTACGTTGACTCAAATAAGATCTAATATTTTCATCTTCTACACTAGCTTATATAAATATATTTTTATTCAGTTATATGATAAGATGATAAATAAAAACAAAAATAAGGAAAATGTGATTTTTGAAATTTTAAACAATGAATATGCATATTGGTAAATTTTAAGATCGGAACAAGTTTAGGTGCAATTATAGAGGTGATTAGATTGCACTTTTTAGTTTAGGTCATAATTAAAATAGCATAAATAGAAATATGTCATTTTTTTTAACTTGGATCACAAGAATGAGAGTTTTTATTTTTATATATTTATTATAATTTATAAATTATAAAAAACTTTAAATATACACTTTCTTATTTAATCTTCTTCGTCGGTATCCTCTTACTCTACACTTCATTTTTTTCTCTCTCTAACTCTATACTATAACATGACACGAAAAGTACATGCTCCTTTTTTAGGAAATTTAACACAATAACCTAAAATAATAAAGTATACAACAAAAAGAAATAACACGAAAATGACAAAAATAATCACATCAATATTTTTAGAGTGGAAAAATCTTCTCAATATAAGAAGTAAAAACTCATGTACACAAGTCAGTCAATCAAGTTCCACTAAAATAAAAAAATATGAGTACAAGAGAATCAAATTAAAATGCACAAATAAATATCTACAAACAACTAATATATCAAAATAACAGTACTCTCAAATATGAAGAACAAAAAAAAGAAACCTAAAATTTAGCCACAGTGCAAGACTGATGTATTTAACCACAGACCTCCAATTGACGATACCAACAGTCAAAACAAAGAACCTTACGTCACAAACCTTTTGTCATAATTTCAGCTCAATCTAATGGTGAACGAAACAAAAATCTTAATTTTACTGAATAGGATCGGTAAATAAGCGAAACCATTTTCTTTTCTTTTTCTCTTACAAAGGAATATGAAGTTTATTCTGACCTATAAAATCCTTCTTAAGTGAGATAAAATCGGTTTGAATAATTTGGTCTTTTAGACACATAATTGGGAGTCTAACCCAACTCATCTCCCTCCTCACAACTATGTGGAGGTGATAACCAATCCGGCAATCTCACAGCAAGTTCCAAACTTTTGCCTTGGTTATCATATCAGCATTATTATCATATGTATGCATTTTATCTAACTCCAACAACTTAGCTCCAAAAGCATCACGTATTCAATTATATCTCACATCATTATGTTTGGATCTAAAATAAAAGGTTGGATTCTTACCAAGATGAATAACACTCTGACTGTCTACAAATAATGGATAATTGTTCTGCACAAAACCAAGCTTCTACAATAAATTCTTCAATCATAGCAACTTCTTGCATGCTTCTGTAAATGACAATGAATTTTACCTCTATAGTAGATAATGTTATGCACTTTTGCAATTTTAATTGTCAAGCCATAACTCCCCCTACAAACTTAATCGAATAACCTAAAGTGGACTTTCTAGAATCAATGTCTCCAACCATATTTGAGTCTGAGTAACCCATCAAAATGGGTTTATTACCTCCAAAACAAAGTTTTAAATCACTAGTATCATGAAAATACCTCAAAATCTATTTTACAACATTTCAATGCTCTCTACTTAGATTGGACAAAAAACGACTTATTATACCAACATGTGCAATATTTGGTCTAGTACATATTATTGCATACATCAAACTTTTCACTGCAGATGCATAAGAAACTTTGCTCATATATGATTTTTTAACTTCATTTGAAGGACTCTACTTAACACTCCATTTAAAATGAGTTGCAAAAGAGGAGTGTTCACTACTTTAGCATTTTCCATCTAGAATCTCTACAACACCTTTTTAATGTAGTGCTCCTATGATAGTAAAATATTCTTTTCACTTTTATCACGTGAGATACTTATATCAAGTATCTTTTTAGCAGCTCCCGTGTCTTTCATGGCAAGTGACTCGCCCAATTACTTCTTTAAGCTGTCAATTTTGAAAATATTTTTCCCAACAATAAGTATGTCATCAACACATAACAACAGGATAATAAAGTCATCATCAAAGAACTTTCTAACAAAGACACAATGATTATAAGTAATCATTTTATAATCTTGATCACATATAAAAGACTCAAACTTCTTATACCACTGTATTGGAGCTTGCTTCAAATCATATAAACTTTTTCTCAGCCTACACACATAATTTTCCTTGCCTTCAACAAAAAAACCATCAGATTATTTCATGTAAATATCTTCCTAGTTGTGTTCACATTCATCTACTCAACTTCCAAATCCAGGTAGCAGCTAAACTTAGCACAACCCTAATGGATGACATTTTCACCACAGGTGAGAAAATCTCATTAAAATCAACACCTTTTTTTTTATGAAGAAGTAAGAATCTTGGAAGTCTTGAAGATTTGATGAAGTCAAAATAAGTCATGAAATAAGAGATGTATTGTTAAGTCCATTAGTGAGTGTGCATCTTATTGAGTAGGTATATTCATCTATTCATTTCTATAGCATGGGTTTCTATCATTTACAAAAGTATAAAATGTCTCAAATCTTTTTAATTTGTTAAAAATCATTTTAATCGCTTAATATGTTCTTAAGTCTCGATTTTAATTGATAGGTTTTCGAATTAATCGATTAACATTACCTAAGAAGTTTTGGAAAACCGTATGTCAGTATTTTAACTGATATATCTTCGAATTAATCGACTAAAATCACTTACAAAGTTTTAGAAAACTTACTATTAGTATTTTTAACTGATATATCTTCGAATTAATCGATTAAAATCACTTAAGAAGTTTTGAAAAATCTTCTGTCATTATTTTAACTGATATATCTTTGAATTAATCAATTAAAAACACTTAGTTTTAGAAAACTTATCGCTATAATTTTAATCGATATAACTTCAAATTAATCGATTAAAAACACTTAAACAATTTTTGTATCACTGCTTTAATTTATTAAAACTCATTTTTATCAGTTAAAACGCCTCTGAAAAATCTCCATAAATATTTTAATCGATTAAACCGCGTTTTTATCAGTTAAAACGTCTAGAAAAAAATTTGTAGAACCTTTTAATCAATTAAAAGGAATTTTCATCAATTAACTTCATTTAAGCTAAGTTGTTTTAATCGATTAAAGAACAAATTAATCGATTAATTGCATCAGTTAGTTAGAAAAATATCTATATAAACATATTTTCTCCAACGTTTTAAATCACCTTTTTAAGAAATCATTTAAGAAATCTTTAAAGATCTTTTTCAAGAGAGAAACACACTCTTTCCATAGGAATTCCGCATAAATCTTTCTTGAGGCTCTTTGTTTTTGGTTTTTGAAGAAACTCATTATGTAGTTGGATTCTTGCATCTGCATACTGGTCTGATTGTTATAGTTTCTTCTAGTTTCTCAATTTTCTTAATGATTCATTGTATTCTTGGTGTCTGAAAATGTGGGACTATTTTAGCAACTGGAATTTGGTTGTTGTCAAAGGTTCAAGAACTGGGTCAAAGTTCTTGGTGGAGATTGTGTGTTTGCAATTTGTTCTTGTAATCAAACAAATTTTTATTAGTGAAACTCAACTGAAATTTGATTGAGAACTAAATGTAGTCCAGTGGTTTGGGTGAATTAGTATAAATATGTGTTCTTATCATTCTTTTATCTCTTTCTTTCATTCTGTTTGATAATTCTTGGTTCAATATTTGATCAGATTTTTAAATCTTTAAAAATTATAATTTGTATCTGAAACTTGAAAAGTTTCTATTTAGATTAATGCACCCCCCTCTTGATCTCAACTTCTAATTCTAACAATTACTATCAAATTTTTCTCTCTACCAAAGATGTTTTGACATAGAAGATCTTTCTTCACTTAGGTTAAGTAAGATAAAATGGACTTGACGACTCAACCTAATTTTCTATAGAGTCTCTCGAGTGTCTCCCTTACGTTACCTCACGAGTCTCTTCTAGTGACTTCTTGCAACCCTGTTCTCCTGCATATTTGTATATCATTATGCATGTCTCCATGTCTCTTTTATAGGTATTTTTCTTTTTCTATTTTGTTGTTCTTATTGAGACCTAACACTAATTATCCCACTTGACCGTCCTTTTCTAGTAGCATGACTTTCAAGGTTTCTTTGTTTAGTGGGTTATCGATCCGAATCGTCCAACATCTGTAAAAAGATACTCTGACTCTCAAATAAGAGAATATTTCGCAAGAGTTTTACCAAATCAAGTGACATTACCTTTTTTATAAGCATGGCTGGACGATTCAGTTCAAAGTTCTCCATGCGAGACTAAGTTGGAGCCCTTATGGTACATTTGTATTTTGATTTTTATAAAATAATCAACCTTTCTTTTTGCTACCTATGTATATCTTAATTTTTTTTATAGACAGATTTTTATTTTTTGCTGTCTCTCTATATCTGTCAAACAGAGACTATGTGCTGGCTGTTTCTCTAAAAGTATCTGATTCCAGGAGTTGACCTTGGAAACAAAATCCAACCTCTTCCTAATTTACACTTCAAATCAATATTTTAACGATACCAAGAAGCTAATATGTTGCAAAAATGTATTCAAGTCTTCAATACTCTTGTTCATTATGAAAGGAAGAGAAAAGATGAGGGAAAGAACCAGATTGAGGTGAGAACACATAGAAATGATAAAGATTAGAAAATAACGGCACTGATAAATTGGACATTGGATAAGTAAATACCTTAAAATGGCACCAAAATAGTAATAATGCAAAATGAATGTGCTTGTTTCCTAAAAAAAACATTTGGCTAATATTGAACATAATTCTCTACAAACCAAAACAGAAACTTAAAAGTTTGATGCTCTCTAAACAATCATATTCATGTTGTGAGGTAAATCTCTACATGGTATAAACAAGGCATGTGTTTTAAAGTAAAAATACAGAGACTGTCTTTTACTACTACACACTCAAGAAGAACAACATCCAGTTTTCTTCACAGCTGATACATCATCAACACTAATTGTCTGCCCTTTTGGTAAAGCTGCCGGATCATCTCCAATCTCAAGGGCCTTCTTGCTCACAACATGATAGATCTGGGTCAGCACTTCTGTGAAGGCATTTTCAACATTCAAGGATTCCAGGGCAGATGTTTCCATGAAAAATGTGTTCTCTCGCTCGGCGAATGTTGTAGCATCTTCGGTCGAAACTGCACGCAGATGACGCAGGTCTGCTTTGTTCCCTACAAGCATCACCACAATGTTGGCATCTGTGTGATCTCTCAGCTCTTTTAACCATCTCTCCACATTTTCGAAAGTAACATGACGCGTAACATCATAGACTAGTAAAGCACCAACAGCACCTCGATAATATGCACTTGTAATTGCTCGGTACCTTCAGTATACAGAAAAAGAACTAAAAAAGTTAGTAAAACACAAAACTGTAGATCATTATTTACATGGAATCTAGAACTAGGCAATGTTACTACAGAAGATTCTTCTTAGGATTTCTAAATCAACACGAGTATAAGACTACTGGCTAGCTTGCATATAAACACGGTTTCATAAAGTGACACGCACAATATAATGGCAATCGATTATAGATAGACCAGCCTAATTAGGAAGCTAAATGATAATGAATGTTCAATGTAGTTCACCATGAAGGAAGATTAGCTCCAGATTTTTCAATTTTATTACATCTGTAACTTTGCGTGCAATTCCTTTTAAGTTATCCTTCCTCATGCATTATGTTTATCTCTCTGCTTATAGACAGTAAGGATCAGTGTCCTCAGGAGGAGAGCAGTTAGTTAGAAACAAAAACTCTAATGGTTCAAAGATAATCATGAGATTTTCAGCTTAGTTGGACTGAAACTAAACTGAAACTAAGGATGACAAAATAAGTTAGGCCCGGAAGACCGGTACATACACCTCAAATAATGGCAGAGTGGGTTTGATAGTTTTAATATGCGAACTTTTGTTATCTGTCCTGCCTAGTCCACTAACCAATGGATAAAATATTTATATATTAAAATTAAAATAAAATTATAATTAAAAATATTATATTTTGTATCATATTATTAACATATATAGATATACTATAATATTATAATTTAAATTATAAATATTAATCAATTAAATTTAAATTTTTTATTATAATTAATTATTTCAACACTCAAATATAGTAATTTTTTCAATTTATCTAATAAAAATTTAATTAATAAATAAAAAATTAAAAATTATTCATATAATTAAAGGTGTATTTTTATAAAAATTTATATAATAAAAAAAGTTATTGGTGGACTAGCCCATCATCCCATCTTTTGACGGTCTAACTATGGTGGACTAGTTCGACCCGCTCTGTTTTAAATAAGGTAGAGGCGGGAACGAGCCAAAACAAGACAATCTGTCCCGTTTTGTCATACCTAGATGAAGCATACTAGAAAAAGCTGACCCACAAAAACATAACCACTTTCTAGTTTCTCCATCAGCGGTCATTTCCTCTTACCGAAGAAAAAAAAAAAAATCTTCTTTCTCCCATCAGCCTCCTCCACCTCCTCACCCATTTGGTTTGGAAGTTGAGAACAAAAGCTGTTTTGGTGATGGCAACACAAGTTGAACAGTCTGTCCAGCTACAACACAAACAGAGGAGTAGCTACAAAGATCACAAATTTGCCAGCAACATTATTGCCAACAAACAGAAGTTGATTTCTATATTACAAAACTGCTTTTAGTTTTAAAATGGAACTAGACAAGATTGCTAAGATAGGTGAGGAAGGGGTTAAATAACAGTGTGGAATTGATGGAGAGGTTAAATAAGATGAAAATAGAAGAATATATGGAGAAAAGATTCCTCTGCTGTTTCTGTTTTTAAAAAACTTAATTTTGGATACAATTTTCAAAACTTGATAGATTTTAGATGTCAAATTGATTGTTGAATAATGTAAAATTTTTTTCAGAAAACAACTTTTAAAATAAAAAAAGTGAAAAAAAAAAAAAAAAATTCAAACAGGCCCCAAGTCACTCCTACAATTGAAAGGAAACCAATTTGAGGAGCTGCACAATGACTACTTCTGTTCCCACTATAATATTCAGCTAAATAGTTTGCTAAGAATATTACTGTACTGATTTCCGTTTCAGCCATCATCTTGCAAAAAAATTCAGGCTTTCTTCTTAATAATACTATCCCAGTTATGTTAGTTGCTTTCATCATTCATGGGTTAATATAATTCCCCAACCTAATTACAAGCATCTAACCATCACGCTATAACCAAAACATTAGCATGTTGACATATTAATCTCAAATGCTAGGGAAGAAAATCTCACATCTTAGCAATGACCTGTCACACGTTTTAATTCTTTCCTACACATTCTCATGCGTTCAACCTACTAAAATATTTCTTATATATATTTTTTCCTTTAGGCCCAAACAAAGAATAGCAAGTTCCACAAATAGCTGGTAGCTAAGGTAGAATAAGATGACCACGATACAAAAGAAGTCATGAGTTCCAACTTCGTTTTGTAATGAACAGAAATGGACATTTTCCCTTCTGTCCATTCTGAAACGAAAAATTCAAACACGTCATTTTAGAAATTATGCATGATTTCTGGATGCACAAGATAGTTAAGAAGAACATACACATTCAAGTAAAACAAAATGGATTTGCGTTGACATTTGACACAAAGTGATGTGCTAGCTAAATATAATACACAAAACCAATTCTATTAAAAATGAAAAAAGATTGAACATGACTTTAACTACTTAAAGGGGACTCGATAGGTTCTACTGGCAAGAAAAGTCTTCTAATCTTGTATAGCGAGTTAAAACACTTCAAATTTCATTAATAGGAAACCAATTCAAGGTCATCTAGTGCTGTCCACTATCCAATTCCTCACATAACCCTAATCAGTTGATCAGAAACATCAAACATATTATATCAACTTTCTTTCTCACCATCTTATCATTCCAAACGTCAGATAAGTAACTTAATGTTATCTAGCCATACAATGCAGTATTATCTTCATAATTCTTTCATTACTAAGTAAAAATGTTTCTCACAAAGTAACCAGCAACTCCATCCTCTTTTTAAAGACGCAAAAAAATGAAAACCACAACATCGTAATGCTGGCAACATCAAAGTCAACCTTAAGTTCACCAAAAGGAACAACTAACAAACAAAACAATCCAGCTCATTTCACCAAGAAACTCAAAGCGAAATGCCACAATTTTACGTTTCATTGAAAACAAAAAGGCGGATAACCAATAATAACATAAGAACGCAAACAAGACAACGACTTCTATTAAAACAGAAAACACTTAAACGTGATAAAGCTACCAATGTTTCAACCTCCTCAATTTGATTACATCAAAGGGTGCATGAAAAAAATAAAAACATATAGCCTCAAACGACCACATAGAACATGCACACCCACTTTCATTCCTCCTACCCAAAATGCAAAAAATCAAATCACAACCTTCAACTCACGCACCCAAATATACATTAAGAGAATAATAATAAAAATAATTGAAGAGAGGCAGAAAGAGAATAAAAGGGTGTTTGTGTGTTACCTTTCTTGGCCAGCAGTGTCCCAAATCTGAGCCTTGACAACCTTATCATCGACGCGAATGCTTCTGGTGGCGAACTCAACGCCAATGGTGGACTTGGATTCGAGGCTGAACTCGTTTCGCGTGAAACGAGAAAGAAGGTTGGATTTGCCGACGCCGGAGTCGCCGATCAGAACCACCTTGAACAAGTAATCGTAATCATCGTCGGCTCTGTACGCCGCCATTTTTGTTCTTTTTCGGGTTATATTTGTTTAGATTTGGAGAGAGGGAACAGAGAAAAGAGAAGGAAAAAAAATCAAATGGGGTGGCGTCAATGGAAGAAAAGAACAAGCATGCTTTGTTGGAATTGGAACTGAAGAGAAAAACCCCAGATTTGGAAGAATGGTAAAAAAGGAACTTTATTTTTGTAACGTCAGCAGGTAACAAATTTAAGATGAGTTTCATAAAAAAAAATTACAATGAGCCCAAAAACAAATAAATAACACTGACAATGAAATTAGTAGTCGCCGTTTACAAAAAATACATATTTTGGGGGATTTCCAATTTTAAAAATATATAAATTTTGTTAATTTTATGACATAAAAAATTACTACAATATATTACATTTAAATATAAAAATAACTAAAATAAAAAGTACATATTTTTAGAAAATAAAAGATTGAATTAATTAATTTAAAAATATAAAAACTATAAAGTATTTTGAAAAAAAAAAAAGGAATTAAAACAATCTTTTCTTTGAGAACCGACAATACAACTCATTCATAATCGGTGTTTTTATTTATATAACGTTCTTTAATTTTTGTTGAGATATTATTTTATACAAAAAGTTAATTTTATTCACGGTTGTACCAGTCTCAAAAATTATACATATATAGTTATATAATTAAAATACACATAATAAATTAAAATATAATTTTTTTTATATAAAGAAATATATACATATATATTTATTACTTGAAAAAAAAAAATCATAAATTTATATTACTCTTAACTTCGTACTTACTCTTGTTAAGGTCTATCATATGTGAAATTTATTCCCACTTAAATACAAATAATCATAATTCAAAGCAACATTCAACGGCTTTTTTTCATAAATAATACTGTTTTCAAAAATATTCTCCAAAATAGCACCTCTGCAACTTTATTTACACAACTAGCACTGTTTACTGTTCACGTAATAAAATAATATTATTTTGCGCAACTGTTTACTGTTCACGTATTAAAATAATATTATTTCGCGTAATGAACTCTCGCTCAAGCGAAGAAACCCTTCGCTTGAGCGAGGAAATCCGTAAGAACGCAGTTATCTCTAGTCAACTATCGCTCAAGCGACAGATATTTCGCTTGAGCGATAAGTGATTAAAATATGTGGTGACCCAAGTTGCGTTATGTGGCTAACTGCGTTGGACGTTTAGCCAAATAATGCAACTTGGGTCACCACATATTTCAATCACTTTTCGCTCAAGCTAAATATCCGTCGCTTGAGCGAGAGTTGACCCGAGACTTTAGATAGCGGTTCTAGAACTAACCGCAATTAAAAATATATTTTAGATAGCGGTTAACGTGGAACCACTATTATATGTTCACTTCTAAGAGCGGTTAAAATATTAACCGCTCTTAAAAGTGAGACAAATAGTTGGACCGTGGGCAACTCTCGCTCAAGCGAGACACTCATCGCTTGAGCGAATAAATTGATAATCGATTATAACGTGAAATAATCGATCATAGTTTTTAAAAATAATTGACATATAATAGCTGGCTCCACGTTAATCGCTATGTAAAATATACTTTTAATAGCGGTTAGTTCTAGAACCGCTATCTAAGGTCACTCAAGCGAAAAACACATCGCTTGAGCGAGAAAACCTGGAAAAATGGGTGATTCTCGGGTTCTGTCTCGCTCAAGCGACGTTATGAACGCTTGAGCGACAAGTGATTCTAATATGTGGTGAACCAAGTTATATTATTTGGCTACCTGCGTTTGACGTTTCATCATTCGGTCAAAACTCGCTCAAGCGACAAAGTCATCGCTTGAGCGATAAAGCCTTCAAACAAGGGGGACTCTCGGGTTCTGTCTCGCTCAAGCGACGGGTACTTTCGCTTGAGCGATAAGTGATTGAAATATGTGGTGACCCAAGTTGCATTATGTGGCTAACTGCGTTGGAAGTTTAACTTGGTCAATTTTAGCTCAAGCGAGAAAACCATCGCTTGAGCGAGAAAACCCGCAACTATTTACAATGCTCGAGTCACCCACCCAAGTCAGGATTCCCATGTCTTTCTCGATGCACACAAGTAAAGAATCCAATGCCTGAGTTACCCACCTAAGTTAGGATTCCAATCTTGGATTCCTCGCATTGGGTTAGACAAAAGCGTAAGAATCCAAACATATTTAAAGAGATGTTGACCCACCCACTTTGCTTGGGTTTTGTGTGCGTCGAAACCATGTGAGAGAGCATTGGATTCAAAGCAATGGACTTCATTATAAATAGACTACTTTCATTCTTTGAAGTTCTCACATTGCACACTCTTAAATCTCTCGAAGCTATTTGCATTATTTCTTCTTCTTACCTTTAGTCTTCTTTGTGTTCCACACTCCTAAAATGGGTGTAGTGTCTACTATTGTCCACTATGATGGTTTCATGAACCCATGTCCCATGGAGGGAGTGACCTTCAATACTGGGACTGCAAAACTTGTTCCTTTAAAGAGAGGAATTTCTCTACAAAGGTTGAAGAAGTTGATCCACAAGAAATTGGAGAAACAACCCCACGAAAATGTAGCAACCATCCATTTTCGCTGTCCAACTAGACTCGGAGTTGGGATCAACAACTTCATTGCTGTTGAGTTAAAAGATGATGACGACGTGGAGGTCATGTTCGATGGTCATGATTCAAACTCAAGTCTATGTGGTATTGAAATTTTTGTTTCATTTAAAACTTCTTCTTCTTCATACCCCAACACACAAGTCACCGGAAATTTCACCCTTACCCTACCAAGCTTTCCCAAACACTCACCCGTAAATACCCACACATAATGACTACATACCTTTTACCCAACTTCTAAGTGGCCCTTCCACCAACATCAACGAAGAACTACCCACACAAGAGAACGAAATTGTTGGCCTCCCAATTGAAGTCGTTGATCCTTTTAGTGAGGATGAAGACGAAGATGAAATTCTCAGCCAACACCAAGATGATTCAGAGGACGAACAACCACATATCCCTACACATGCACCAAACTTCATGGAACCATACAACCCACCACAACATTTTCTTAACTTTGAAAATCACATTCCACAACAAGACCCGGAGTATGGTCATGCGTTGGACAGAGAGTCTTTTGTTTCTCCGGCAGGAACTCTATTTCTTGGACAACGTTTCATAACAAAAGAACAAGTTCAAGATGTCATCAACCGTTTTCACATTGTCAATCACTGCACATACAAGGTGAAAATTTCAAACCAAAGTAGATATGTTGTTGAATGTGGTGATAACCAATGCAATTGGAGATGTCGAGCAATATTGCGCACAAGAGAGCAATATTGGGAGATTATGAAGCTTGAAGGGCACCATACATGCGTTTCGCCAGTAATCAACCAAGACCACAACAAGTTGGGATATAAAATGATTTCTCAAACAATTGGTCAAATAATTGATGTTGATTCGTCAACACCAATATCCATAATCATAGCCCACATCCAATTAACAACGGGTTACACTATAACATACAGGAAGGCCTGGTTGGCAAAACAAAAGGCAGTGGAGATCATCTACGGCAATTGGGAGGATTCGTATAAGAAGTTTCCTTGTTTGTTACAAGCGATGCAACAATTTGTTCCCGGATTCATCTACAAACTGCAGTCATAACCAGCTTACCAAGGTGAAGTCCTTCAACAAAATTCAAATATTTTTAAACGTGTGTTTTGGGCGTTTAGGTCATGCATAGATGGATTTGTTCACTGGAAGCCCATTGTTCAAGTGGACGGAATTTTTTTGTATGGAAAATATAGAGGTACCTTGTTGGTTGCAGTAGCACAAGATGACCGCAACAACATCCTCCCCATTGCGTTTGCAGTGGTTGAAGGTGAAACAAGTGATGCCTGGTTTTTTTTCTTAAAAAACCTTCAAAGATATGTCACACCTCAGCAAGGATTATGCCTCATATCGAACCGACATGAATCCATTAGAAGTGCATACATGAGAAATGGAAGTGGATGGACGAGAAAATAATTCAATGCATGTCTACTGCATTAGACACATTGCACAGTAATTTTATGAGACATTTCAAAAACACCGCACCGAGGAAAGATGTTGTAAATATGGGTAATTCCTTTGCTTCAAATTTGTTACAATTTATTCATTATTTAATTGTTGCTAATAAATATTTATATTAACTATGTTTTTTTAATATTGTTGTAGCGTATGGGATGACCGAACCACGATTCTACTATTATTACAACATCTTGAGGCAATGTGACATACAAGCAGACTAATTGGTTGGATGAGATACCTAGAGAAAAATGGGCACTTGCATGGGACAATGGGCGACGTTGGGGCCACATGACGACCAACATAGCAGAGTCTATCAACTCGTTTTGAAAAAAACAAGAAATCTACCTATTTGCTCCATGGTCACCGCAACGTACACCCGTTGCAACAAATTTTTCATTGAAAGAGGGAGGCGGATAGATGTCATGATCAATGTTGGTCATGTATACTCTGAAATTTTGGTCAAAAATTTAGAGGAAGCACAAACACAGACAAACACGCACAGGGTCATAACGTTTGACAGGTCTACCACAAAATTTGTAGTACAAGAAACACAAAACCCGCGTGAAGTTCAACCAGCAGGGAAGTTTGCAGTTCACCTTGATGAGTTATGGTGTGACTGTGGGAAATTCCAAAAATTTCACATGCCTTGTTCACATGTTCTTGCTGCATGCAAGCATGCACACCATGACTTCAACAACTATATTAATTCAGTGTATACCTTACAACAAGTTTCAAAGGTATACGGAACACAATTTGGGTTATTGCGAAATGAAGAATATTGGCCAACATACACAGGACCTACTTTGTGTGCAAATCCGTAAATGAAAAGAACTTCAAAGGGCCGACCAAAATCAAGTCGTATAAGAACTGAGATGGACATTACGAACATCAAAGTATGATTAAAAAATGTTCATATTGTCATACCCCTGGTCATAGCAGAAGAACATGTCCTAATGAT